TTTGTGGATTTTGAAACAAACTTTTAAAAATATATTGTTATTGATTTCAGAGAGGAAGGAAGAGGGAGAGAGAGATAGAAACATCAATAATGAGAGAAATCATTGATCGGCTGCCTCCCGGATGCTCCCCCAATGGGGATCAAGCCCTCAACCCAGGCATGTGACCTTGACTGGAATCGAACCCGGACCCTTCGGTCTGCAGGCTGATGCTCTATCCACTGAGCCAAACCAGCTAGGGTAAAACAAATTATTTTTATTATTTGAGCACACATGACCAGTAAAAATTCAGAATTTCATTTGATGTTTTCCTGAACGCTTGCATTCTGATTAGGGAAACTAAGGAGATTGGAAGGACTCAAAACTGGAGTGTGTGGGGAGAGTTGGTGATGAGGTCCTATAGGAAGATAATAGGAAACAATTTTGATTTTTGTTATTGCACTTGTTACTTTTTCTTTCTTTGGGGTTTTATTTTTCTTTTGCTTTTTTCTAACACATTTTTGCTCTTTAAAAAAAAAAAAGAGATGTGATAGTGGAACCAGAGGGTGCAATGTAGTATTTACTACTGAGTGGCTGCCTGTTAGTTCTGAATCCACTTCCTCCAGTACAACTCTTAACATGTGATTTCTTTTTTATCTCCTTCATGCACCCCCAATAATTGAATAAAGACAATACTCGTCACATATCCACACCTCAGGCACTGGGAGCCTCGGTAAGATGGGAGATCAGCATAGGTGTTAGAAAAACTAAACGATCATTCCAGTTTCATGGTGCAATGAAACTTCAGGTTCTATGCTTTATTTACAGTAACTTGCACCCAGTTCCTCCTGGGGCTTTTTTCCTGCTGTGTTTTGAGTGCCTTCTCCCTGGTTATTATTATTATTTTTTTTGCTGCAGATAACCACCAGTCTCAAGGATAATCTGCTCAAACACCTTCCATTTTCTTCTCCCCACCGAGAAGCCTTAGAGATCTTCTTCCTCCTCCCAGAATGTCCCGTGATGCATGATTACAACAACTGGGAGAGCCTGGTGGTTCCGTTTGCAGAGGCTGTTTGTGAAATGAATGATAAATCTTCAGAGGCTCTGGGTAAGATTGATGATTTACATGTGAAATTACTTTACCATTCTCTCTCTCTTTTTTTTAAAATATATTCCATTGATTTTCTACAGAGAAGAAGGGAGAGGGACAGAGAGCCCTGATGGATGAGAGAGAAACATCCATCAGCTGCCTTCTGCATGCTTCCTATTGGGGACCTAGCCCACAACTCTGGGCATGTTCCCTGACTGGGAATTGAACCCTGACCTCCTTGTTCATGGGATGATAATCAATTGAGCCACATCGGCCGACCTTCTTTGTTGATCTCCAAGATTGCAACCCTCTTTTAGCTTCCATTATTTGTTTGTTCATTAATTCATTTATTCACTCATTCACTTATCAGGCCTTTCTGCCTTTATTAAAGTACATCTTCTGTGTTGGGACTGTGCTAAGTGCTGGGAAACTTAACTCTATATCGTGAAAGCAATGGGAAGCCACTGGCTGACTTAAGACAGAGAGTGCCATGATCAAATTTCCTTTTAATTAACTGTACTTTGGCTACTATGTGGAAAAGGAATGGAAGGAGAGTGCAACTGGAAGATGGGAGAGCAGTCAGGAAGCTAACAGAAGCAAGGCACATGCATTACCTAACATATGGAAATCTACATTATGACATCATTATGCACCTAATAAAATTAGCCATCCTATATATTAAAACCCTAATATGCAAATCCATTGAATGCAGAATAACTGGTCACTATGATGTGCAGAGACCACCAGGGGGCAGACGCTTGATGCAGGGGCTGCTCCCTGGTGGTCAGTGCGCTCCCACAGGGGGAGCACCACTCAGCCAGAAGCTGGGCTCATGGCTGGTGAGCTCGGGAGCCTCTCCCACCTCCTCTGCTGCAGGCGGGCGGTAAGGAGCCAGGGGTCCCGGACTGCAAGAGGACACAGGCCAGGCTGAGGGACCACCCCGCAGTCCACGAATCTCATGTACCAGGCCTCTAGTAATTTCATAATAATTGTCTAATATTCCAGCCATATTAAAATTTTTGCAAAAGATATTTTACAGACTGCTTTATTTAAAAAATCTATGTTAGTTGCCTTGGAGAATGTCTCAGCTCTAGAGTTGTCTGTTTCCTCCTTCCCTGTGTCTCCAGTACATTGGAAGTTAGTTCTAGGGGCTTAATTAGATTTAATGGGGTTTCTTTCTTTTTTACATAATCCATTCTAATATTAAATCTAGATAATATTGTAAGTGATGAAAAGCTGTTTTAAATGTTGTTGTTGTTTTTTCCAATGCTGAAAGGTGTTATTTAAGAGTTAAAAACTCATGCTGGGAGCACAAAAAAAAGTCATGCAGTCACGAGTAGTTCTTAGTCTAGTTTTCCATACAGTATGCTCCTCAGTCTGGAATAAAATGTAACTAATTTAATGTCTTTTTTCATATATTAATATCAAGATTGAGGTCCTATTACTGTCAAGGAATTTTTTTTAGGACATTAAATTCTGAACTTTTTTTTCTTTTTTTTTAAGTTTGAGCATAGACTTTTTAAAATATATTTTTATTGATTTCAAAGAAGAAGGCAAGGGAGGGAGAGATAGAAACATCAATGATGAGAGAGAATCATTGAGCGGCTGCCTCCTGCACGCCCCCTACTGGATATTGAGCCCACAACCTGGACACGTGTCCTAGACCCATGACCCTTCAGTCCATAGGCTGACACTCTATCCACTGAGCAAAACAAGCTAGTGCAGATTCTGAACTTTTTTTTTTTTTTTTTCAAATTTTTTTTTTTTTTAAAAAGG